GTATTTCACAATATAGAATCAGAAGAGTCATTGCCAAATTCCTTTTATGAAGCTACAGTTACCCTGATACCAAAACCACAAAAAGACCCAACCAAGAAAGAGAATTACAGACCGATCTCACTCATGAACATCGACGCAAAAATTTTCAATAAAATACTGGCAAACCGAATCCAAGAACACATAAGAAAAATTATCCATTATGATCAAGTAGGCTTCATCCCAGAGATGCAGGGCTGGTTCAACATACGCAAATCTATCAATGTAATCCACCATATAAATAAACTGAAAGAAAAAAACCATATGATCATTTCACTAGATGCTGAAAAAGCATTCGACAAAATTCAACACCCCTTTATGATAAAGGTCTTGGAGAGAATAGGGATACAAGGGTCCTACCTAAATATAATAAAAGCTATTTACAGCAAGCCAACAGCTAACATTAAATTAAACGGAGAAAAACTCAAAGCCATCCCACTAAAATCAGGAACACGACAAGGATGTCCACTCTCTCCATACCTCTTCAATATAGTGCTTGAAATTCTAGCAATAGCAATAAGACAACATAAGGAGATCAAGGGGATTCGTATTGGAAAGGAAGAAGTTAAGCTTTCATTATTTGCAGATGATATGATAGTGTACATAAGCGACCCCAAAAATTCTACCAAAGAACTCCTACAGCTGATAAACAGCTTTAGTAATGTGGCAGGATACAAGATCAACTCCAAAAAATCAGTTGCGTTCCTATACACTAAGGATAAGGAAGCAGAGAGGGAAATCAGAGAAGCATCACCTTTCACGATAGCCACAAATAGCATAAAATACCTTGGGGTAACCCTGACCAAGGAAGTGAAAGATCTACTTGACAAGAACTATAAGTCTTTGAAGAAAGAAATTGAAGAAGACACCAGAAAATGGAAAGACCTCCCTTGCTCTTGGATTGGGAGGATCAACATAGTAAAAATGGCAATTCTACCAAAAGCAATCTATAGATTCAATGCAATCCCCATCAAAATCCCATCAAAATTCTTCACAGATCTGGAGAAGACAATAATTAACTTTTTATGGAAAAACAAAAAACCCAGGATAGCCAAAACAATCTTATACAATAAAGGATTGTCTGGAGGCATTACAATCCCTGACTTCAAACACTATTACAGAGCTACAGTATTGAAAACAGCTTGGTATTGGCATAAAAACAGAGAAGTTGACCAATGGAATCGAATAGAAGACCCTGACATTAACCCTCAAACCTATGAACACCTGATCTTCGATAAAGGAGCTAAAAGTATACAATGGAAAAAAGAGAGCATCTTCAACAAATGGTGCTGGCAAAACTGGATGTCAATCTGTAGAAGAATGAAAATAGATCCATATCTATCACCATGCACAAAACTCAAATCCAAATGGATTAAAGACCTCAATATCAGTCCGAACACACTGAACCTGATAGAAGAGAAAGTGGGAAGTACTCTACAGCAAATGGGCACAGGAGACCACTTCCTATGTATAACCCCAGCAGCACAGACACTAAGGGCATCATTGAATAAATGGGACTTCCTGAGGCTGAGAAGCTTCTGTAAAGCAAAGGACACTGTCACTAAGACAAAAAGACAACCCACTGACTGGGAGAAGATCTTCACCAACCCTGCAACTGACAAAGGTTTGATCTCCAAAATATATAAAGAACTCAAGAAACTAGACCTTAAAAGGCTAATCAACCCAATTATAAAATGGGGCACTGAGCTGAACAGAGAATTCTCAACAGAAGAAGTTCAAATGGCCAAAAGATACTTAAGGTCATGCTCAACTTCCTTAGCGATCAGGGAAATGCAAATCAAGACAACTTTAAGATACCACCTTACACCTGTCAGAATGGCTAAAATAAAAAACACCAATGATAGCCTTTGCTGGAGAGGTTGTGGAGAAAGGGGTACACTCACCCATTGCTGGTGGGAATGCAAACTTGTGCAACCACTCTGGAAAGCAGTGTTTCGGTTTCTCAGGAAATTCGGGATCAACCTACCTCTGGATCCAGCAATACCACTCTTGGGAATATACCCAAGAGAGGCCCTATCATACAACAAAAGTATATGCTCAACTATGTTCATGGCAGCATTGTTTGTAATAGCCAGAACCTGGAAACAACCTAGATGCCCTTCAACGGAAGAATGGATGAAGAAAGTATGGAATATATACATATTAGAGTATTACTCAGCAGTAAAAAACAAGGACTTCTTGAATTTTGCATACAAATGGATGGAAATAGAAAACACTATCCTGAGTGAGGTAAGCCAGACCCAAAAAGAGGAACATGGGATGTACTCACTCATATTTGGTTTCTAGCCATAAATAAAGGACATTGAGCTTATAATTCATGTTCCTAGAGAAGCTAAATAAGGCGAATCCAAAGACAAACACATAGGCATCCTCAGGAATATTAACCTTCATCAGGCGATGAAAGGAGACAGAGACAGAGACCCACACGGGAGCACCGGACAGAAATCTCAAGGTCCAAATCAGGAGCAGAAGGAGACGGAGCACGAGCAAGGAACTCAGGACCACAAGGGGTGCACCCACACACTAAGACAATGGGGATGTTCTATTGGGATCTCACCAAGGCCAGCTGGCCTAGGTCTGAAAAAGCATGGGATAAATCCGGACTAGCTGAACATAGCGGACAATGAGGAATACTGAGAATTCAAGAACAATTGCAGTGGGTTTTTGATCCTACTGCACGTACTGGCTTTGTGGGAGCCTAGGCAGTTTGAATGCTCACCGTACGAGACCTGGATAGAGGTGGGCAGTCCTTGGGCTTCCCACAGGTCAGGGAACCCTGATTGCTCTTCGAGCAGATGAGGGAGGGGGACTTGATCGGGGGGAGGGGGAGGGAAATGGGAAGCGGTTGTGGGGACGAGGCAGAAATCCTTAATAAATAAATAAATTTAAAAAAAAAAAAAAAGGTCCTCTAATACCTCTTCCCTAACTAGTATTTATGCTTTAGAACTCTATGTACTTAAACTCTCCTAGATATCTTTCCCAGGTCCTATTTAACTGATTCTTATGTTTAACTATTCATGGCATACTGCAGTTTACTAAATAGAGGCACCAATTTACTCGAAACTTTTTGTTTCTAGTCTATAGTGTAACTACTCAGACTTACAAGTTTGCTATAGGGAGCCACTTTTCTTTATAATTAGCAAAGCCAGTATCACGGTTCGCTCCATATATACAGACAAATAAAGGGATAATTTGCTTGTACTTGTGAATGTTAGATTATAAAAAAAATACAACCCTGCAAGCAGAATCTACGCATACATATACAGGTACAAAAACGTGTGTGTGTGTGTGTGTGTGTGTATTTGTGTGTGTGTGTGTGTGTGTGTGTGTGTGTGTGTATGCATATGGGAAGATGCACAAACACACATACTCAGAAGTCAAATGAAATATTATAGGTAAAGCTGGACTTCTGTGTAAGTAAAGTAAATAATCATTTTCCCAGTGTGATTTCAAGGACACTAGAATAGTCTACAATATAGAAATTGCTTTTCCATCTGCAGACTGAATCCAAATATTCCATTATTTTTATTCAGACACCTTGCCTGTCTCTTCTGGATTGTAAATAACCTTGACAGATCGATTATTGTATAAAATATCAAACTCAGAGTTATTTTAAATGGTGAGCACCACTAAGATTTTTACCAACAAATATGGTATAATACAGTTCGGAGGTACTTTTGTATATGAAATTTAAAGGAAAACACCACTGTGTTTTTCCAGTGATATAAGATGACTTAAGCCCACTTAACAGCATTGCTAAAAATAAGATAGAGTTGAAAATGGTACATAATTAAGCCTAGGTCAGAGGAATAATTGTTATCAGTATTATTAATAAGATCTATTATCACTTATGTGATACTTAATATCTTTTATTAACGTGATCACCCATGATATAATAAAATCTGGGTCAGTAACTATATTTTATATTTTTGAATACTAATTTATTCTATTATCACACTATGCCTCACTAGATTATGTAAGACTTTAGAGTTTTTCCTCCACATGTAGAATGTTTCTTTTATTCTTTCATTCTTTGGTTTTGGTGTGTTGATTTGTTTAGGGCTGTCCCAGAGCTAGGATTCAACCTGAAACACCTTCTAGTTTATCTTTGGACATGTTTACTCCCTGTGATAGACAGTGACTACAACCCCATTCCCACATTTTTATTTCGTATTTTGGTCCAATAAGTTCTTGAAAACAAAACTTAATCATTTCTTCTCTTCTTAATCCCCGTCATAGAAAATATAGATTGGAGATTGAAATTGTCAACCAGCCTGACTGGTGAACCAAATGGTTTGAAGATATCTATTCTAGGTCTGTTCATTTATAGACAGGTATTCACAATCCCTACATCCATAGTAGTTCCAAATATTTCTAGTAAGCTCAGAAGAGTCACAATATACAATGTAATTGGTAGCTTTTCAAAAATATAATTTTCAATAGCATGATTTTACTGTACTAGTTTACACACCATCAAACATTTGGACAGAATTGTTATTAGTTGAATGTGTTGTATAGTTCAAAACCGTCTGAATACCCCCCGCCTAGCAGTGAATGCTTTCCACTGTGTACTAGATGTGATTATTTTGAGAATATTTAAATCTTCCTTAGCCAGGGTTAGATTTTGCATTATATACCTTGTGGTTTTATCTTTAGATCTGAGAGTCTGGTTATAGAAGCAAAGTGTACTAATATTAACGATAACACAAAAACTGTCTAGAAAGCTCTCCACTTCTCCCCAGAAAAGTTTTGAGAACGCAGTGGCTTCCTCATTAACATTGAGACCCAGGCAGCCTTTCTTATATTTTTATGACTGTCGGTTTATAAATAAAAGAGAGAGAAATTGACTGGGGAATTATGTAAACAAGTTCTTAGCACCCAGGATTAATTTTGAGGAGCATTCCAGAAGCCAAACAAACATTTCTTTTCATCTCATTTCGCAGGCCTTCAAGAGGGAATTGAAAACTAAAGAACCTGTAATCATGAGTACTCTGGAGACTGTGAGAATATTTCTGACAGAGCAGCCTTTGGAAGGACTAGAGAAGCTCTACCAGGAGCCCAGAGGTAATTGAATGTGGAACTGTAATAACATATTGATAAAGGATCAGGGTTGACAGAGCCGCCCATCCATGCTTGCTGCCAGAGCCTGGATGGCTCTCATACTTCTGAGTTAAACAATTGAGTTAAATCAATTCAAATTAAATGTAGGTTTCAAAAAAAAAAGAGCAAGGAATCATAAGGCACAGTGCATAAACCTGTTTTCACAGACATAAATCAAGTAATCCGTGATCAGCCATTTGAATATTTAGAAGATAGTAAACAAAGGAGCTTATCCGTGGAAAGGAATTCTATTGTTACAAAGACTACAAGCTAATTTCCAGTTTAAGAGCCTGGCTGAAATAAATTAGAGCTCTTCGGCATGTGCGAACATCTTTCTCTCCAAAAGCTTAAATGAATCTTGATTTATCTGACTGACAGGAAAGTAGAACAGATTTACTAAGGAAGACAGACAGTTTAGCTTTGCTAGACTGTATCAAAATTTATGCCAAAGTGTAAAAGAGCCATTAATCAGGAAGTTGGCCTCTTGTTAATCTACATTCCCTTCCTTTCTTCTAGTCTGACCTTTTCAACAATGTTTTTTTCTTTTTTAACAAAAATGGATGTGGCCTGAAACCTTGTCATATTGCCAATTTAGAGCTTCCGCCTGAAGAGAGAGCCCAGAATGTCATGCGGCTCCTACGGAAACAGGCTGAAGAGGTCAGCACCGAATGGGACAAGTTGAACGTACACTCAGCTGACTGGCAGAGGAAAATAGACGAGGCTCTTGAAAGACTGCAGGAACTTCAGGAAGCTGAAGATGAGCTGGACCTCAAGCTGCGTCAAGCTGAGGTGCTCAAGGGATCCTGGCAGCCAGTTGGGGATCTTCTCATTGACTCTCTCCAAGATCACCTTGAAAAAGTCAAGGTACTGTGTTTTGCTTTGAGAGACCACCCCAAAAGTACTCACTTAAGTTTATACAGAATCTTCTTTATTATTATTATTATTATTTTTAATTTTACATACCAACCAGTTTTCCCTCCGCCATTCCTCCTGTTTCCTCCATCTCACCTACTTTCTACCCCCTCCGCACTCAGTAAGGGAAAGGGAGTTTACAAAGCATGGCATATCCAGTTGAGGTACACACTGTTTTCATCCCACAAAGTGAAGTTATCAGGCTACAATCTTTAGAAAGTAGCCCATTTTATTTTCCTTGTTTTGAAGTCTTTCACACAGGATTTCCTCAAAAAAAAGGTTAGTGATGTAATCATTTAATCTATCTTCAGTAACTTAAAATGAAATAGTAAGACATCTCATTAGTGTGGTAGCTAGTACTCCAGGGTTCATAAGATTAAATATTAAAAAGTTACAAGGTCAAAAGCAATTTTGATTTTGGCCATTAAGAAATTAATTTGTCATGAAGTAGATGGGTTTTGTGGGATTGGTTGAGTATGTTTTTATGGATTCGTGTGTTTGTGTGTGTGTGTGTAGTGTAGTGTTACTTAGTGTCAGGACAGAATAAAAATAAAATTTGCCAAAACCAGAAAGCCCAGTTTGAGACAATTTCTCTAGTAATCTGATAGCGAATCTGAAAGAAAATCATTTGTTCTCCAGTCCTTTTTATTTATAAACTAGTAGCAAACTTGGGTTCAGCCTTACATCTTTCTGCATTTTCATTTTCTGCATGCCATTGTTTATTTTCCTCAGAAAGTTTCTCCCTGTTATTCCCCTTTTTTCAACCAGTGTCTTTTCAAAATCCCTACTTTTTTCATTGTAAAGATGACATACATCTATTGGCCAGTAGTGTGTGTGTGGCATATTCTGAACATTATCTTTTAAATATTAAGTAAGTGAATGCATAATTCCCTTACTGATATTTCTGCATCATCCAGACTCTTCCCCATTGCAACCCAAAACTCGTTAAAAGGTGTAATGAAGTCCAGTAATTAAATAAGGTGGCTATCTGTCTTCTTTTCTACTCAATTTTAACAACTCAAATGCAGATAATCCAGCATACTCTCTCCATGCTATCCAGTTTCTCATAACTGCCTGCCATGCCATGTATTTTTCCATTTGTCCAAATCACCAAACTTTGTATGTCTGATGAACTCTTACTGAACCTTTCTCACCCAGCGTACAGATCACCTATTTCTGTAGTCTTCCATAAATATCTATCACTCCCCCAACTCCACCAGAAGAGTGAAACTGGAGAGCTTTGTTTGATGGTGGTAGTTTAGTTCAGCAAATTAAACTGACTGAAATTGATTTTTTAAAAAGGAAAAGCATCTTTAAAGCTACTTTATCCGTGTTGATTTTAACTTAGCAATAACTCCCAAGTAATGGGCAGGTAGCTAGCTACAGAGAAGAGCGTTTGATAGAGCTGTGTCATCTCAGGTCCCCTAGGGATGCTTTCAAAACACCATTCTCCATTTTATAATTCCATTAGTGTTTTAAAAGTCGTCGTTTGTGTCACTACAAAACATATCCTTCTGTTGGATTTATGATTGTATCTCTTAGTTAGCTAGTATGGCCTTTGGATTTGGGGAAAAGGATAAAATGTAATCCTAAATCCCTGGACTTTATGGAAATGGTGGCAGTTCTTCTTCATGGTGATAAGTATTACAAACCAAGACAAAGTAATGTCGTGTTCATATCGGCTATTTGACACACTAAGAATTCCCAGTGTTACAAATAAAACACCATAAGAAAAACCTGCTGGAATAAAACTTGCATTTTAAAAGCCATTCTACTTTCAAAATTCATAATCATTGTTGCTTACCAAGCATTTTAAAGATACAATTAGGATTACTCACCTTAGAGAAATAATATCAATGCTTATTTGACTACACAGGTATTTTACTTTCCTGTAATGGGAAACACAAATAATTGAATCACTTGGTGATATCCATAGATATACAAAAGGAGCACTCAGAGCCTTTCAGAAAGCAGTATAGCTGGAGGGAGTATTTAACTGAATGTTCCCCATGTGCTGAGGTGCAATCTCAGCCTTTTCAGTAAGAAAAAGAAAGCGAGGGAGGAAAGAAGAGAAAGGGGAAGATAAATATATAGAGAGCTTGAATGGTAAGTTGGTTGACTGATTTAGGGACAGATTCTCATTAAATTCATCTATGATGCCCTTGAACTCTGGGGCTTCAGAGCTTCTTCTGCTTCCTTTTAAGGTAGCTGGTACTAATAGAGTAAGTTTTGAAGTCAAACTCTGAGAACAGTCCTATATAGTGAAAGTATTTGGGAGGTCATTGGTGTTTTCTTCCTCTAATCAACCGTTGATTCTCCATATAGAAGAAGGTCCATTATTTTTTAACTATGTTCTTAGTTTATTTGGTTTCATTCTTGTCCTTTTCCTTTTCTTTCATGCTGAAGATTGAGCTCAGGTTCTAATACATGACACTGATACACTCTCAGCTATAAAACCATTACATCTACCCTAAGTCAGTTCCCAGGCTTTCATCTTGAAATCTGTGAATTTGTCACATCTATTTGTTTATATTTTGCTTTTGCATATTTAGGCTTATAATAAAATATTACTGGGAAAGCCAAAGGAAGAGATTCTCTGAATTTTCTTATAAATCCCTTTTAATGTGATATTTTTATTGCACTTTCTTGACATTTTATCTGAGTCTGATTTCATGGTATTTAAACTGTACCAGGGAGTATATTGAAGCCATTATACCATTGGTATTTATGTTCAACTTTCATATCAAAAATGTTAAGTGGAAAACTAAAAATTGCATCTTCTTAACCCTTCCAGGCTGAATACTTGTGGCTTCCTTTCTTTGAGAATTTCTTTGTTAAGGAAATTCTTTCCCAGAATTTTCCTTTTTGGAGAATTTCTTTGTTAAAGAAATTCTATCAGAGAATTTTATATTGAGAAAGCAAAGTATATTTCCTCTGAACAGATAATGTTAACTGTCATGGAATATATTAGAATTTCATTTTCACTTTGGTAAACAAACAGCTTGCAACCATCTTCATGTCGCTCTGTCTTCCTTTACTGTCATTTGCTTCTTAACCATGGTCCTAATCTTTTGTTTATATTGTATTTATCATCAACTTGACAGGACATGAAATCTTTTCCTATAGGGGAACTTTACAAAAAATTGAAATGCTTTCTTACAGAGCTAGAGGATGCATGGATAAAGGGAATTCTTACAAACAAGACAGCCTTAAGAATGATAGAAAATATATAAGTTCCCTACGTGTCAAATACTATCATTTTAAATGTGTGTGTGTGCGCGCGCGTGTGTATCTGTGTGTCTGTGTGTATTGACTCATGCTTGCTTATATTGATGCCAAAGGTTGATTCTGCAATACCATCCTCAATCACTTCTCTATGTTGTTTTGTGGATGTTTGGATTTGTTTTCTATTGTCAATTCTTGTTTTGAGACAGACCCTTTCACTGAATCTGAAGCTCATCAGTTGGCTTGATTAGATAGCCAACTGTTTCCTGGAGTCTACCTCTCTCCACCCCAGAAGGTTACAGGCATGCATTGCTGCACCCAGCATTTCTTTAGATGCTAAGGACCCCAACTCGGGTCCTCAGGCTTGTGCATCAGAAACTTCTATACAGTTATCTCCTAATGGGCAAATTATATCTTCGTAATGAAGGAAAGTTTTGCTGCCTGGAATAGGATGGGAAATTTTACTGACAGGTTGCTCAGTTCAAGGAACTGCAAGAAAATGAGCTGCTTTAGGGATCCTTTTGCTGTTCTTGTTCTTGCTATGGTATCAAGGCTGTGTATGAAGCATTTGATCAAGAAAAAATAAACAAAACATATAATCCTTCATAAAGCTAGATTAGATATGGAACCAATTGCTTCTTTTTAGAATACACAGGCTTTATCAAGCTTTCAATGCACATAGCTCTGTTGTGTAAAAGCACATGATTTGGCCATTAATAGCTGAGAAAACTCTTAGAAAATGGTACCTAGCAGTACAGGCTCACTGTACACTTTAAAAATATAACGGAAAGGTCATTGTTGGCTTTGTTTGAGCTTAGAAAGTAAAGCACAAATTACTATCTTAGAAATGCCTACCAAATTTTTTGTTCAATGTGAAATTAATTGTAAGTTACTGTTGCTAAGAGCGCTTATTACTTGTTCCCATGTAGTCCTTCTGATTTCCTGCCTTGTTTGTAAAGCTAAAAGCAAATTACTTAGGACAACAATGTCAAATGCTTTTCTTTACCCAAAGCATCTGAGTTTAGATAGCATTGTGTATGTATGTTTTTAAAGTCTCTATCTCAACTTGGACAAATAGAACCTTTGTTTACCATGCTATTCCCATCCTGCCTTTGAAATGTCTGAGAAGGCTGAGCAGAGTAATTGTTTCAGACATCTGTTTAGCATACTTTGAAGTCCATATAAGTTCCTTTTCGGTTTCAGTTGAACCCCAGCTGTCTTCACCAAAGTCTATAATCAATCAGAATTAAGTTGTCCTACTTCTCCTAATAAGTCTCTTATTAAGTTCTGCATCAACCTCTTAGGGAGACTTAAAAGCTAATTCATGTAGAATTGCCATTTTCTACTAATCTATTTGTCAGCGCTCCAAATTCCAGCAGAAACAATTGCAAAGACTATTAATTTGTCTCTTCATAAACAACTTATGTAAGTGTAGTATATGTTAGAACTAAGCAAACAATTTAAAACAATGGGTGGAGGAAAATGATTTGATGACATTCAACACACTTTTTTCTTTGATTGTGGTTCCTGCAACTTCAAAAGAATAAATACATTGATTTAATAAGAGAAACATTCTTTTGCTTTTACTTTCATAAAGAAATAATTACTGAGTGAGCCTTGCTTAATGAGAGGAAAAGGTTTAACAACAGTTGGAAAAGGAACATGTTCATTCCTTATTGAATTTATTTTAATTTGGACTTCTTTGTATTCTTTTGATGGACTATGAT